AGACCATACTGTGGGGTATTTTAATGTAAGATATTTTACAACCTCATCACAAATTCAGTAACACTCTTCTTATGTTATTCTTTAGATATAGCAGACGGTTCTGTGTCAGTAACCAAATTCCATGCCTTATTCCAGGGGTAGGCAACCTACGGCACTAGTGCCATGCACGGCACTCGAGGTGTCTTTGCAAGGCTGCTAGAGCCAAACAGGCTCTGGCCTATCAGGAGTCCCAGTAAAACTTAAGATATCTGCTAATCCGAAAAGGTGGTGAAGGACAATCCTCAATTTATGCATTGCAGCACGTAGAGGTAGTGATCTCAGATCACTTCCTCCCAGCACTTGTGAATAGGAATCCACACTGAAGTAGAGCAGCTCGCAGTTGCTGTTGCAGCTCCTATCCTTGACATGTACCTGGCCGGCCTAGTCCCCACTGGAAGCCACCCATACTGCTAGATATACACAGAAATGCAGAATAACCCTCCCCTCATACAAATAATACGGACAGCCCACACACAAACATGCACTCAATCCGCACAAATGAAACACCACTAACATACATGCACACAACCCCATATGCAATACCCCAAACAGCCCCCACACACTACCAAACACACACTGTGACATATCCATCCACACACACAATTCCACAAGCAGCCCCCATACATAGCCCACATTCATATATATCATACACAATACCATAACCTACTCATGAACATATACAATATAATAGCTCGTATACGCAGGGCCGTCTTTTTGGGGCAAACTGGCCAGCTGCACCGTGAGCCCTGCTGGCCTTAACTATTTCTAACCCTCATGCCGGTAATCCGCACACTAAGGAGGCCCACCAGGTGGCCCATACACAAAGGACCACCCGGTGGGCTTCTGACAGCCGCGCATCACTTCCTCCCACAAAAAGAGGAGCACATGGGAAAGAAGAGTAGGCAGATTGGCGGGGGCTGGCCGAGAGCGCTAGACCCCAACTCCCAACACTTCAGCCACCAGCAGGAAAGGGAGGAAACTGCAGGGTGGGTTTTAAAGTGTATGTCTGTGTCAGTATGTTTGTCAGTGTGTGTGTGTGTGTGTGTCAGTATATCTGTGTGCGTGTGTAAGGAAATCTGTGTGTGTCAATATGTTTGTATGTCAGCATGTCTGTGTGTGTGCGCGCATTTCAGTGTGTATATATGTGTGTGTGTGTATATGTGCATACATCTCAGCATTCACACACTAACACTACACACAAATACACCCCTGCATTCAAATTTCAACACTACGTACAAACACATGTCTGTGTTACAAACCAAAATTATATGTAAATACACCGCTGCATTCAAAAACCAACACTACACAAATACATGCTTGCAATCACGCCAACACATACAAACATATTCCATACAAAAACCTGTTTACATTCAAACACACAAAAACTGCTAAGTGCTAAACACAGACCGGCAAACATGGGTAAATGGTAGAGCCCCAGCTGTCAATGCATTTCTGGAGTTGAACGACAGATGGGGATCTACCTTTTAATCACCCGTGCAACAGGGAGACCCCCAAAAATTCTTGCACCTCTCTACTTTAGGTTCGCCACTGCGTTGAGGTGGAGGATGTGATTGCATGCCTGAGGAGGGGGGACAGGGTCCAGGGGGCCCCAAGCAAATGCTTTGCCCAGGGTCCAGTCACTATTAAAGA